AAAGAAGTGACCCAGAGTCTTTGGTTTACAGTAAAAAGTGCAGACAGTGGCATCCAGAACAGTGCTGATGGGAGCAGGGAGATGCTGGCTTCCACCCCCTCCAATCACAGCCTGGCAGATGCAGGTAAGACACACACACACACACACACACACACACACCTCTGTCATCACACAGACATCCCTGGCTTTCTAAATCTAAAGCAACTGCAGTATTAGCTAAGTTTAAACAGCATCTAACACAAGCATCAGATGGACAAGAATGATGCAAAAGAGAAGAAATACCAGGATGAAACACAAACCTTTAAAAAGTGATCCCTTCTCTTGCATCACTGCTAAGATTATAAGAAAAGAAATGACCATTGTCACCTGAAAATTTGATAATTTCTACCAATTGAGTCTAGCTGCTGATGAATTAGACAAAAAATGGCCTTGCCAAATATGTGAATAACACAGTCAGTGAAAAGAAATATTTTCTATGATGTAGTAAAGCGCTGATACCCAGAAGTCTTTGCTCAGTTTTGTATTTTGTTTTCTTTAGTCATTTAACGCAGCTCTCACAAGCCATTTCTCTTCTCCAGGTTGATTAAACAGATTAGGCCCTGGAAAAGTGTGAAATTCTCATTTGAGAAAACAAACACCACCTACCTGTCACTCGCACGTCTTTGTTCCCATTTCACAGACAGTGCTGAGTCTCCACCCGTGCCCACCGCAGTGCCTCCTTCGTCACCTTATAAAATGGTTTTCTACGAGCCCAAGGAGTACAGCTTGGGTCTGCAACTCTACTGGGCATCATGTGCCCGCAGCCTGCCGGACATGGCGGAGGCCCTGGCCCACGGAGCCGAAGTCAACTGGGTCAACACTGACGATGACAAGAGGACGCCACTTATCATGGCGGTGCAGGGGGTACGTATGGCTACAGATTACCCAGCCAGTTTGGTGCCATTTACTGTCTTGTGGATAGTTTGAAAGACATGCACAGAAATTAATTAATGCTCCTTATAGACACTGATAGACATTTTAAAAGCCTTTCAGTAATATTATAATTTAGCAATTTAAGTGTTGGGATGAAATGTCAACCAAACATCGTTAGTAGAACATAAGACGCAAAATGATGGCAAAGTACATAAAATAGCCTGTCAATATAGTCAAACATAGTACTGCTCAATGGATTAATACCCATGCAAATAGTGTGTATCACTTAAAAAATCTAAATGACACTATTTTGTTTAATGTGATTCACTTCAGGCTAATCTAATGTATCATGTCAATGTTTAATTTCAGGGTTCACTGGTCACCTGTGAGTTTCTGCTTCAGAATGCAGCTAATGTGAACCAGCAGGACGCTCAGGGCCGAGGACCCCTCCACCACGCAACCATGCTGGGACATACAGGGTTTGTTTCCACAGTTCTCTGCCATGTACACCAAACCAAACTCAAAAGAGCGATCGGGTATTTAAAAGCATGCGCTTCAACTCAGATTATGTTTAACCTCAAAAACTCTGTTTCAGGCAAGTGTGTCTGTTCTTAAAAAGAGGAGCGAATCAAAACGCTGCAGACATTGATGAGAAAACACCCCTGACCATAGCAGTGGAGGCAGCCAACGCAGACATTGTTACACTGTGAGTGTTTTTCTTCTCATCTCTGTTTACCAGTATTTATGCTGGCAGAATTCCACACTGTTGAACACAGCCATTTGTCCACTGAGAAGCTCCCACTGGGGTTTTGTTGGCTTTTTTAAGGTCACACACCAATTCACTGCATACATTACAGTAACTGTTCACATTTGTTTACAAAATACATTCATTTCTTTTTGGTGTTTATACAAACAGAAAGGATTGGCATGCCATCTGGCAAAACCTAGCATGAGTCTGGATTAAGCCTTTGTGGCCACAAGGTGTCGCCACTTAACAACAGTTCAGGCAGAAAGAAATCAGAGTACCTGTTTTATCCATAACAGTGGCCTCTTATTCTGAAGTCTAGCTGGCTTTCATTTGTTAGTTAGAAGTGAGTGTGTATTGTGTAACAATTAGCAACATATATGTTTGTAAGCTTTAAGAAAGGAAAAATCCCAACCATGCAATAGAATGTAAAAGTTTGATCTTTAATGACCATTGACTTCCTGTCTCTTCACTCGTGTCCCAGGTTGCGACTGGCCAAGATGAACGAGGAGATGCGAGAGGCAGAGGGGCCCTACAGCCAGTCAGGTCAATATAACACCAACAGCCCCACCGAGATGCAGTACAGGAAGTGCATGCAGGAGTTTATTAGTCTGCAACTGGATGAAACTGAATAGCTGTCCACTTTTAAAACTCAGGAGCAAAACTGTCAAACCAGGCTTAGCAGAAGAAATGAAAGGTCAAGGTTTCAGAGGTGTGGTCAGTGGATTTAAATAAAGTTGATTTACAGGACAGATGACTTTAACACCCAGACAATACTTTCTCTGTGTTTCGATTACAAATTGGAGGTAACTCTTTTTGTACAGTAAGAGATTAGTACCGGCTGATTAGGGTGAGCTGAGCCCATCTCTGACAGTTGAGCTCCTGTGTCCTGCTGTGACTCTGAGTTGTTTCTGTCGGGTGCTCAGCAAGCTGCACCTCAGTGTGGTATGGCATCAGGTGCAGGACTGTGTTAATGTGACAGGGTTAAGGCCATCAACTCTGGACATGAAGAGTTTTGTTCCAAAGTGGAACATCCACCTTTTCAATTAAGTGACTGAAAGTGATGTGCAGTTATTGATTAGTGATTTCACACGAGTAGAATAAACTGTGTCACTTTTTACTAGATGGTCGGACCTTCCTCCCTTTAAATGAAACCATGTTTGCTGATTTCCTCTATTTTAGAGGTGTTCTGTGATTGAAATTTGCTTTTTAGGCTGAAATTTTTTGATTAGCATTGTCTCTGCTAGCAGTTGCAGCTACTCAGCAACTGCCACCAGCATTCGGTGACACTCAAACCTCAAAGTGGTCATCTGGCAATAATCATGACTTTTTTATAACCTGACCAATTTCATTTTAGATAGACTCATCAGATGAAATTTATGCACATTCCTATTTATTGTTATGCTACTAGTGTATCTTTTTCAATGACTGTATGATTCCCATTTGAGGTCGTAACCATTTTCACGGCCTGTTTACTCAAGTGTTTGTTGTCTAAACATGATGCATCTTGCTGTTGTGACATACCTGGTCAGGAAAAATGTCTGTTAGGCCAGTTTTCTTTCGTAAAGATACTTTTAGGAACCATTTGATAAGTCAACATACTATACATGTTGTAAATGATGTGCATACTTCCATTTGTTTATAGTCTGACAGAATGAGCGGAGTTGATAATGACTCTGATTGCACGCTGGGGGTGTTGCCATGAGGAGATGTGTTCACATCCTCACTTTTCTTGTTTTGAATGTGACATATTTACTTCCTGTTATGACAGTGTTGTGTCTTGGTTATCAGTAGATTAAGTGGGCGTGCTCTTTGCCTGTAATCACAGGAAATCCAGAATTTTACTGTAAGATGAAAGGCCCCTTGGTGCCATCACACCGATCGTCTAAAAATGAATGGACTCAAATATAGACAAACCATCTGAGGATGGTACATCATCAAGCAACGGGTGCAGTGCACGTATAACCATGTACAGCTGTTTATCACCTGTTAGTCCTAGCTTGTATTTATCTTAATCATTTGGGAGTGTTACAAAAAAGTACAGAAGAGGTTCACTAGGAATGTGACGAGATGAGTATGAAGCTGTCTTCATTTTGATTTTTTGTTTTTTTTTTAATTGGTGGTGAACGAAGAATCAACACATCTTCATCCCACATCTCTGCTCCATGCAGCCCGAACTCCTCGTAGGGTAACAAAGCACTTTGATTAAATGGTCATTTCTGCTGATTCACATTGACAGGGCAGCGGCGCCGCTGCTGGAAGAACAAATGATGTCTGGGGACGCGTTCTGTACTTAGAAGCAGGATTCCTGATTGTGTTGTATTTGTGTTTCTGTGTGTTTCAGAGTAGAGGCTGAGAGGTTTCCACAAAGTAGATTGCTTGTGCATGTATGTGTTGACCACATGAGGGAGGGCTACACTGAGGACTGTTGTCCATAAGCCTCTGAGATTTAGGGCTGCTGTGGGTAGTCGGACTGTTATAAACCTGAATGTTGCTTCTTTTAATAAAGTGTAATAAGCTTTTAAAAATACATCAGGAATGTTTTGGAACTATGACAAGAAATTCTTTAGTTCTCTTTCTTTTAGTTTGTGCTGTGTTGCTGGGGGCTGACACAGACGGCGTTACTGCCTGTAGTTGTCTTAAAGGTCTACAGCCGACATAGAAGAGAAATAGAAGCTTTGTTTTTACTGGAAGGGCAGAGTAGAGTCAAACTATGCGTTTCCAGTCACTGAATGTTCAGCATGTCTGTTTGCTTTCCGTGAGAATTGGCCTTGTTGCCAGCAGGGGCTCACCTTTCCCTGTGATATGTGGGGGGCCTCGTCATCAGCGCCTCCACTCAGCTGATGGGTGACGGGACTGATGAGGGATATTCAGGGGTAATGAATGTGAACAAGAGCCAACTAATAAAATCATCTTTCCCTTCTTAATTTTTTTAGTAGTAGTCTACTTCTCTGTAAATTCTCTCTCTTCTGTATTTTGCTTTTCTCACTTTCTCCCCAGAGTTTGTGCCTTTCTTCTGTTTTCTTTTCTTTGGGGTGCTGAGGCCAACACAACTGTATTTTGTACATAAACCCGTGCACTTTAAACACAATACAGTTATTGACAAAACCTAACCTCTGTGGGCTTGTCTTTTCTTTCTGTGTCGATCTCCAGCTGCTAATGACAAAGCTCTCTGGCAGTTTTTTCTCTGACCTTTGCCTTTTGCTGCTTCTCTTCTTTCCCATCTTTTCTTTGTGTTGTTGTTGTGTGTCACATTGCGAGCCACGCTGACACCACCAGGTACGGCTGACCTTTTCTTTTCCACTCTTGTTCTGATGCCGCTCTCACTGCGCATGACCCCTTCACTTTGCAAAGCTCTGTTACTCATATGTCCTGCTCTACACCTGCATGATGTGGCATTTACTTTGTGATCACAGTGTAACACTGTTTAGTTTTGTTGACTTTAGCACCGTCTTATTGCAGCAGGGTGCTGGTTGGGAGTAGAGAGAAGGGCTCAGAATCTGGCTGGCAAGTTCCCTGGTTCAAAATACTGACTTTCTCTGAACTGTGAAAGGAAAGGCCTTTCACTATAAGAATCCTTAAAGTGATCACTGTTATATCAGCATCTTGCCTTTTCTTAGCAGCATCGTTTTTATTTACACCAGGTATTGAAATCACTGCATGCAGTTCTTCTGAAAGACAAACAGCTTTAATATATACAGTATGTTTTATAGTTTGTATGGTACACTTGCGTATTTGTGTGTACTCATTTTGATTTAGTTACAAACATCATTATTTTGTTCTGTTATTAATGATCCATCGTCGTCATATGTGCAGAAAACGTATGTTGTGCCACAGCAGGTGAACATATAGCTTCTGTTGTTAGGGCTACATGATTTAACACATCCTGTCTTCTTTCCTAGTGGTCCCCAACCTTTTTGGCTTGTGGCCCCTTTAAAATGAAATAAAATCCACTTGTGACTCATCATCAGAGGTTATAATGGCCACAGTGTGGACATGATCTGTCCTACAGTATAGTTATATTTTCCTCTGATATTCCCTGAGAGAAAAAGAAGCTCACCTCGGTCAGATTTGTGTGGGTGCTTGTAGTCCTGGAGTTAATTTGGAGAACCACACACCCTCTTTTCTTCTTCTGTAATCAATCAATCAAAACCCAAAAGAAGAAAATGCAAATATTTGTGGAATTAAAAAAAAAAAAAAAAAGTTGGGAACCACTATGTGCCTCCTTTTTGTGTTGTGTTGTTGCTCACGTCATGTGTCCTTGTCGTTCTTGCAGGAGATGAAACCTATCAGGACATTTTCCA